AACAGCATGCAGGTATCCTGTGCTTACTTGCGGCTCGAAAAAATTTCCATCTTCGTCTGGCTTCTCTCTACTCGCTGCCGGTCTACGCACGCTAGCCTCTCCACCAAGAGCCTTTAACCGGATCCGACAGTTAAGGCCGCAGACCTTGCGACGATCATCGACTACATTCGATTCAAAGAGGACATATTGTCTGTCCACACCACAGGCAACGCTCCTGATGTGGCGCACTCGAGGGCAGGAGAAAGCGCGGAGTGCGCGAGGCCCGACGACGGTCAAAGCATCGCTAATCGACAGGAACTTGGAGAGCGCAACATCCTACTCTTCTCAGCGTCTAAAGCAGCAAATTCCCAATGCCTAGTGATATGGACACAACGGGGCTCATTCTCCTAGAAGAGAATGATCTGCGATTTCCTCACTTTACCAATGAGGTTGGCGCCCTTTTCTCCACTCACAATGCCTCAACTAACGTAAAAAAAATAAATGGCGTGTTGACACACACCTGATAGGACGCTTATACGCTCGGACAACACATGCGCAAGCGATTTAAAGCATCGAACCGATACGCCAAAGGCAATGGAGTTGCGATCGCTATCAAAAGCGTCGCCGGTCATGTCCTTTATGCCTGTACGAATGATTTCCTTTCCCATAAAATATAACCTCCAGGGAACTTATACAACCTTGTGCATTGAATTTTACCCAAATAGGCACTGTGGGTGACAGTGGAGACGTGACCCTGGAGTCTTGGAACTGCATAGATGGCATGATCGCTACTGTTGTCAAAACAGGCCATAGTTCTTATTACATTGAGAAAAAACTGGCTGATCACGGTTAGTCATGTGTCCATTGTTGCACTTGTCTAAAACTTTTATATAGGCAGACGACCTGAACAATTAGGCTACAGAATGATGAGAAGCATTACATCCCCAGAACTCTGATTAGTACTCGTGGCAGATTGTGTCGAACGCCAGACGAAGATGGAAATTTTTTCGAGCCGCAAGTAAGCACAGGATACCTGCATGCTGTTTGGATTGGACCGAGCAAAGAGCGCAGATCCAGATCCTAGGGATGGATTTATTACAATTGATAGGTGAAGATAGATTGCCGTCGACGTTCGAGAGTTCAAGTTGTGAATTGGGACGTTTGCGAGACACTGGCTCTCATCCCCAATACTCAGGGACACCAAACACCAGCCTGAATCGACGATACGTGAACCAGACCTCCTCCACAACCTATATTATTTGCTCCATGTACACGTGTGTGCAGAAAGGCACGCGCAGAATGGCGATACTATTGGAAGCTCAGCTATTGGATCATAACCTGTGGGCAGTTTGCACGACTGACAGGAATCAATCCCTTCAAGCTGAATGTCATCATTTTCATTATGAAAAGCATCCCTACAGTCCAGTTAAAGCCGTGATTTACATACTCTGGCTCAGCCAACTGTGTGGCTGCCTCGAGGCTCTCATGAACTTGCAGTCTACCGAATCCCTACGCGACCTTTCTCATCGGACAATGGGGAGACAAGGGTCACAGCTGTCTCTCAATCGCACTTCTGTTGCTTTACATCATCCAAAGTTAACGCTGATCACTCATTCTACTCGGAGAGGTCCATGAATGCGCTTTTCGCCACAAACTGGCACCGTTTCCACTTCCATTGCATGCACTTCGATCTCTCGATCCATTTCCAGCCATGTTCCCATTTGATTCCTTCCCTCAGTATACATTGGACAAATCTAGAAAGTCAAGGGGAATGAGCTCGACGAGCGACGGCACGAGCTGTAGAGCTGAGAACAAAGACCATTAATGTTCTGGGTTATTGGGTACCATGCATGTGGCCCCGCTCTCACTCGTTTCGAGACTACGGACCGTCTCTGGGTGAAGTTGTCCATACTAGGCAAGTCAAAGCCGAATCGTCAATCTCTCCTCCTGCGCCCATTTTCGCATCTTGAGCCCGCCCACTACGTTGTAGCTTTCTCTCTGTGACTGCTGTAGCTGACCCCAGTGCGGGTAGACACTTACCGCCAATGCCGAAGTTCAAAGCGAAGGCTTCCAGCGAGAGCAATGGCCAAATCCCTCCACAACCTAATGGTCATAGAACGAGACAACGCCCACATCAAAAGTCTTCTGCTTTCAAAGCTTGGAGCGACTCAAGGCACTCCAGAAGGTCTCAAGGACCGTTCATGGCCGGTTCTCAACGAGAGCTTTCGTTCATGAACCTGCTCCGAGCATTCCAAATCATACGTACATGTCTTGTGAACATCTTTCTGATGTTATGGAGATTGCACCCAATGCGGACTTCCCTCCTCATCCTCTTC